GACAGGAGGGTCTCAATTTATACATGTATAGGGGAGAGAGGAAAAGCCTCCAGCCTTTAAGGCTAGTCATTAAAACACCAAGCATCCATAGCCCCTTTCCACAAAATGAAAAGTATGGATGCCCAAAGGATTCACACCCTTTAGCCAAGAAAAAAGATTTAAATACTCTTTAAAATCCTATTCATGAATCTAACATCATGAAGCAATTTCTTGGCAATTTCTTATTCAAAACCTAATAATTTTTGGCTCACTTGGACCCAACACAAAAAATAATTAAGATCCACTTTAATATTTAATTAAAATCACCACACTTTAATATTAAATTAAAATTCCCAAAAATCATTTTTTCCAACACAGTCTTTGTTTTAATCAGAAAATATAATTCTTCTTCCTGTTCTTTGGATGATGCTACAACTTATTTTCGTGTCTCGTTTTTACAACAGTGCATCATGTTGTGACACTCAGCCAAACAAACCCATCACTCAAAATCTTTATTAGGGCGCAGAAGTCTCTCCAGGAAAGTGGTGGCAAAATAAATGGAAAATAGGCTTTCCTCGTCAAGACTTCGTATGAAGAATTCACGATGATGTATAACCGGGGACAGAAGATCTGTTAAAATGTCAACAGGAAAGTCCGAATCTCCATAGGACCAAGCTCAACAACAAGATCTGAAATATTGACGGGGCCGCCTCTAATAGCTCGGGGTGCCCCTCCATTATCCCCCTCAACTTTCCAAGTCATCTTCTTCATCTGTGACTTGTCTTGGTTTGTTGACAAGCTCACTTCCTTGACCTCCTTTATCTGAAAATTTAATCAGAAACAAAAGAGGTAATTCAGAATGAAACACTGCCAACATTTTTATTCTCATTAGGGCATGGTTCTCTGCACCCAAAAAACACTCCCACTTTAGCCAAGTTTGGCATTTTGTTATACTATTAAGTAGTGAGAGTTCCTTAGAAAAACATCCTCTCAGCCTAGCTTAGTCCTTGCACAGTCTACTGACCCAACTACATTTCACACACAACCTAACTGAAGTTGATAGTAAGTACATGGATCAGATGAGGAACGGTATACGCATGATCCATGCTGTGGAGAGCATGGATTGGTGCCAACATCATACTAAAACTGCAATCTCTCTAGATTCTTGAAAATGTATTGTCCTCCAAAAAATCTACGCGAATTGTTGTTCATCTTACCCATCACTGTGGGAACTCATAGGTAGGAAGACTTAAATATTGGAAAATGAACACTAAGGTATCATTTGATGAAGATGTCAGTTTCTTTTCTTTCTGTTTAGAAAAAAACAAGTTTTTTAATAAAGAAACATGTTTGATGAGTTATCGGAGGTGATTGCTAGCAGTGGAGGGTGGATGGATGTGGTGGCTATTAGCCACTGGAGTGACCAGAGTGTTGCCAGAGGTCACGGGTTGGCGGGAGGAAACATGCAGTGACTGTCCAATCACTGGAAGGTGGCCGGAGCTCGCAGGCAGTGGTTGGTGGTGGCCAGAGGTGGTGGGGGAGGGAAAAAGAGTAAAAACTTATTTGAAAACAGGCGAAAACATCTTTGTTTTATTAAGTTTCAAAAAAAATAATAATAATAATTTTGGAATCAATTCCATTTTTTTGAAAACAAAAAAAGTATACCAAACCAGTTTTTTGTTTCTAGTTTCCAAAAAAAAATGAAAACAAAAACAAAGACAGATAACAGAAATGTTACCAAATGAGTTGTACTTGTGACTGGACCTAAATTTTTCCGGGTTAAAAAAAAGACTAGACTCATATTATGCATGATAGGGACTAGGCGGGAAAAAAAAGTGCAAAAACAAAATTGATTAGGTTATACATACCATTTTTCCAGAAAACACCTGCTTCAATTCAACTTTGGCTAATGCTGAGTACTCAGCATCTTCTCCTGCCTAATCACATTTGCAGCAAGAAAGAAGTGTATGAGAGGACGATAGGAAAAAAATGGATGAGAGAACTGAACCGTGAAGTGGACTGAAATTTCTTTTATCAATTTGTTAAGTGCCACCTTTATGAATCTAAGATATTACTTGACAGATCCAGAAAATGGCATAAACATCTAGTTTCAACATACTGTCAACACTTCAAACAAACATCTGTGACTCATAATATGGGAACAGATAGTATTTCCTTCATCTTCATTTCTTAGAGTTGAAAATAAAAGGATCATGATATAGTTTGGTCCAGAATCTATGAGAAAAATCTATTCATCTCCTTCCCATGCTAATTTCTCCTCTCAGACAATACTATTTGGTCGAGTTTTCAGAATCTGTTTTCTGAAAAAAAAATCAAAAACTAGTTTGGCAAAAAAAGATTAATAAAGCAAAAACACTCATTATTTTCATATGATTTTCTCTTTCTTTTTCAAACTAGTTTCTAGTTTTTCTATAAAAACAAGTTCTCAAAACACAACCAAATATTAACTTCTCTTGAATTTCGGCTACAATGCCAATGTATAACCCTAACTTAAAAACTTCATGTTCAACATACTAAAAACAGAAATGTATCCAACGGATAAAATATGAGGAAGGCCATAACAGATTTAAGTCAAGAATGTTTGAGAAGGCATGGCGGCCAAGGGAAAAGTAGCAAAAAAAGGAATCGTGGAACTAAATGTCTCGAGATAACACTTGCATCAAAAACAAAAAGGAAGGCTAAGGCAATTTTGAGTTTTTAAGTACACTACAAGAAAAAACACATTTGGCGACTAAATTTTTAGTCGCCAAAAGTCAATTTTTAGTCGCCAAAAGTCGATTTTTAAGTTTCCCCCACTAAATTTTTTAGTCGCCGGTTTGGTCGATGGAAAATGGTTGGGAAATGTATTGGCGACTAAAAAACTTTTAGTCGCCAAAAAGCAAGTCTTTAGCGACCAAAACTTTGGTCGCCAATAGTCAATTATATTTTTTAAATTATATATTTGGCGACTAAATTTTTAGTCGCCAATAGTCAATTATATTTTTTTAAATTATACATTTACTGATTAATGTTTTCGTCGCCAATACTCAAGGAATCGGCGACCAAACAGATTTAGTCGCCAAAAGCTCATTCCGAAAAAAAAAAGAAAAATTACACCTAGCTCTTGTGGAGATTTGAACCATCAACCTCCCATAGCATAAACCTTATACAACACCCTCTTTCCACTACGCCTCCATAACACCATATGATTATAGATGCAACATATATTATTTATATAGTACTTAGACTCGTATTAATATCAAAGTATATATATAAACATAATTATTTTTTATTGAACATAATATGCAAAAATAAATTATTTAGTAGAAAAAAAAAGGACACCACTTTTGGCAACTAAACATAATTTTAGTCGCCAATTCTATACTTTTGGCTACTAATTATTTTTTAGTCGTTAAAAAACATTTCCCGCGCTAAAATTACCACTTTTGGCGACTAAACTTTTTTTTAGTCGCCAAAAAGCCTCACTTTCGGTTACTAAACATGTTTTTAGTCGCCGAATGCTTCACTTTTGGCTAATAATTTTTTTTTAGTTGCCAAAGGGCCTTACTTTTGGCTACTAAAATTTTTTTAGTCGGTAAAACCCTCACTTTTGGCGACCAAATAGATTTTTAGTCGCCGAATGCCTCACTTTTGGCTACTAAATTTTTTTCAGTCGCCAAAAGGCCTTACTTTTTTGCTACTAAAATTTTTTTAGTCGCTAAAGCCATATATCGGCGACCAAATGGATTTTTAGTCGCGAAAAATCTTTAGTTTTGGCTACTAATGCATTTTTAGTCGCCCAATGCTATACTTTCAGCGACAAAATGTGATTTTTTAGTCGCCAATAGTGTTTTTTCTTGTAGTGGCCTAATCGTCATCCTAAGCTACATGTTGCTTTGGTTTGTTCTTTTTTTTTCTATAAAATGACCCTAATATAAATAAATTACACTTTATTTTATTTTACTCTTACAAAATATTTAATTAAACATTTAAGGTTTTTCTCATTTATAATTAAATAATACTAATATAAAATTTAAGGAGCAACTTAAATTTTCGAGTTGTTACAATTTCCTGACATGAACACATATATGACACGACCGTATGACATGAATATTGAACAATTGGGTCAGTCTCAAATCTGTGTAACATGAAATTGACACAGATAACGCGTATGATGAAGATTTAGTCACACATTTTAATAATATTTGTACTAAAGTGTAACAACCCTCGCTTTATCTTGGTCGTGCTCACAGGCATAAACATGACTTTGTTTTGTTAAGTTGCATTTACAGACCTTAATTTGTTTTGTCTGAGTGTTGCTTGCATGTTTTGTTTCTCGCTTGGTGTGTGTTAAGCCGAAGCAGTCTTAAGCCTAGGTCACACCTTCGAACCTCTTACACCTAGGACCATTTTGGAACCACTTTGGTTGACCTCCATCTTTACCCTGGCGTTTTGGCCGAGATGTCATCATCTAGGCTGAGATGCTATCATCTAGGCATCCCGACATCCTTGAACCTTGCACCTAGTGACCTTGTGCCGAGACTGGAATGACCTAGACCGAGGTGTGGCACAACTGGGCCAAGTGTTATCTTTCCTAGCCGAGATCATTGAGACCTTACTTGCTGAAGCCTTTGTCCTAACCTGAGATCAACCTGCCGGAGTGCCCATGTCACCATGCTTGTTGTATACGTTTTGTCATGCTCTTGTCTTGTCAGTCAGTCACCTTTTGAGGAGAGCCAACCAACCGTTGCCACGTGTCCCAATAGAGGGTTAAGTCAGCCGGCAGTAGAGAAAACATATCATTTGTTGTATCTTTGTCCTAGAAGAGAGAGAAGCTCTAGGAAGAGAGGAGGAAGAGTTCTTAGAGTGAGAATAGATTTCTAAGCTTGATCTTCACACCTTGAGCCGTTAGATCCGCGTTTTGAGGTTAGAATCTTGATATGCTCTTGTTGTTCTCCATGTTCATCTAATCACGTTGCATGATCTAGCATTATTCATGAGACATGCATTGATGTAAAGCTTGTTTTAGAAAGAGAAAATGATGTTCTTGTGTCCTTGAAATAAAACCATGTTTTGATTCGGAAGTTTGTACCAAGATCCATGTTTTCGTGTTTGTTTTCATGAAACCTCCAAGTATGGGTACCCAGGTTCATGTTTTCGAACTCATCTCATGAAATCTCAGATTTTGTAATAACAAGTTAAGATTTTAGCATTCATGTTCTTTATGTTCTTCATGATCATGTTCTTCATGTTCCTCGAAGGGCAACCCAGATTTTCCCGACTTTATTTCCCTGAATGTGGTCATTGGGACCACACCTCGGCCAAGAGGTGTGGGACCTTGGCCAAGACCTGGTTGGTGCCCAGCATGTTTTTCCGAGATGAGAAACAGTGATTCAACTCCCAGCACATGTTTTGCTTTGTCTTGACTTAGTTTTGCAAGAAATGTCGAGATCATTTACACTCATGCAAAGCTTGTTTTAGGAATGCATTTCATATCCATCTTTGAGCATCTCTTCTTGTCTTCTTGAAATGCATTCAATGGGATTTATTTTGTGCTTGTAGGCCTTGGATCCTTGCTTGTAATCCCCACACCCGAAGAGCTATGTGAGTAGTATTTTTAATAAAGCTATGTTATAAAGTTTTGATAAAGCTTTGTTTTTCTTTGGAAAAGTATTTGATCAAGCATGAAGGACTATCCCTAGTTTTGTATCCAGTATTATATTTGTTTTGATGACATTCTTGGAAAGTCCTTAGTGCTACGGGACTATAATGCAACTAGTACCCTTGTTTTGAAAGTCCTTAGTGCTACGGGACTATAATGCAACTAGTACCCTTGTTTTGAAAGTCATTAGTGCTAGGGGACTATAGTGCAACTAGCACCCTTATTTGAGATATCTCCCTTGTCTTGCCACCGACGGTTTACCGCATGGGTTTGTCCAGAATGTCATCCCTTGTATTATATTGATGCTAGTAAGCACCCCTTGAAGCTTTGAAAGATTTGACAGATGAACTTGGTTCATCCCTTGATTTTGTACAAGATATGCTATGTATTATTTGATAAAGATCTCGGATGTCATTCATTTAAACCTTTATTACTAATATCATTCACTGAGTACCCAAACTCACCCTCTATATATATATATATATAGGTGACGAGCAAGAAGGCGGTGACGCCTAGATGATTATTTGCAAGTTGTTTGGATTCATATTTTGTAGCATCTTGAAGATTATGTTTCTTGGCTTGGCCATTGTAGTTCGTTTTGTATATGTCAGCTTGAGAAGCCTTTTGATCAAGATGTAATATGTATTTGTTTTATTTGTACTCAAGTTGTAAAACCACGTTATGTATGACATTCCATTTGATCTATGCACAGCTTTTGTGGACTATTTAGATTTCAATTTATTGCTTCCGCACATGTGAGCCCCATATGTATACTCTGATTGTGTATGACTTTGTAAGTTGGCCTTTGGTAATCTCGGATTACTGGCCATCATGGCACCATTCTACTAGGGGTGGAATGGGGTCGTGACAGATTGGTATCAGAGCTCTAGTTCCTTATAGTACGTTATTCACAAACTTTGAGTCCTATAGATCTTAGGATTTCCCTTAGAATGATATTAGGATTGCATCATATTGCTTGCTACTTGACAAGGTGTGCATTATCTCGGCATGAATATTTGTTGCTTGTATACATGTCTATTTGTTCATTTTTGTTTTAAAGTCATATTCTACATACTCTTAGCGTCATGAAAAGGGGTAGACCTCCAGTTGTCCGAAATCATTTCGAGGACAGATTGGAGAGACTAAAAAGGTTGGTCGAAGGTTTGGTCCGTGAGTGTCACGGCCCAAACCCGCCCCTATGGGCTTAGCACCATAACCGGCCAGTAATCCGAGATTACCGAAGGCCTGCTTAACAGTAATACAGTAAAACAGAGTACAGGGGCC